TTTATGAAAATGAAACAGTGAGCCTGTCTAATGTGACCTGATGATCATAATCATAACCCAAAACATTTCAGTACATGTGCATGTGTATTGCATGGGCCTAATCCTATGGATCATAATTCCCTAACCCAAAAGTCAATTTTCTTCTCTATGGATGGGGCAGCTTATAAATTTTAAAAATATTGCAGCATCAACTGTTCCATTTAGTTCTATCAAATTTGATCTGATGTTTTTGAAATATTCCAGACCCACCTACACCCTTATCAGATTGAACCCCACTTTATTGCAGCTGCAGTTGCTTTCCTCACTGCTCTGAATAAAAGTTTCACACTTTGAGTCTGTGGAAAAGGTTCACTTACAATTATTGAAACACTAACCAGTATGAAAAGAAAAATGTTGAAATCTCTAACTTTGCAAAGCAGTTCTTCACTATATATAGTGGCCTTTGAAGAGTTGATTCAAGCTGACCCCAATTCCACCTCCCAAATTATTCAGCATATTGTGTTTATTCTTCTTTTATTTTGAAGAATAAGAAATGAGGCTGCTTTTCATATTTTTGGGAACTCTGGTAGCTATAATACTGACAGTTTAAATTATACATTGATATACTAAAACTGAGTGGTGCTTCTATGGACTGCAATTTTATTAATTCAGGTATTGGTTGCAGCATCAATCAGACCTGTGTCTGATGAAATTTGTGAGCTCATAATCTCATTTTTTCAATGAATCATCAAAGACAATAAAAACTAAACAAATGTGGTATGCAACAATTTTTTTACATAGCTTCTGCAGGTCAAAAAATTCTAATGAAAAAGAGGAATCCACACACAAAACGTGCATTCAGTGGGGTGAGTCATTTGATTGAGGTTTGATATGATAAAAGGATGTGAAAAATCTGATATTCTTTCACTCAATGGATGAAAATTGTTGATTGATTTATTGAGCAGCCAAGTTCCTCAAATATATGCCAGCTTTGCAATAATCCAGCAAATCAAAAAATCTTGCAATGCACATCTTCAACTTGCAATCGTCTCTTTCATTTTAAGTGTATGGAAAACTTTACTGTTGATAGACAATTGGAAATTCCAAAATGCCCAACATGTGAAACCCCTTATCCGCACTTGAGAGAATTATTAAACCTATTCAAAACAGAAGAAGTTCCAGCTGAACGCCCCATGCCAATATGCCTGGTAAACAAGCTCCTTGAGTTCAGTTTGGACCAAGAAATATATTGTAAAACTGATGTGGTATCTTCTTTTAGGATGCACCTTTACGGAATCTTAAATGCCCCAACTGCAAAGGAAGAGGATATAGGACTACCATTCAGCAGCCAGGGGAACAGGGGAAAGGGTATAATTGTAGGAATTGTGGTTTCACATTTTAAACCCACAAGGGAGATGAACTTCATTGATCTAGTTGGAATTTTGAATCCAAATGGGTCAAACAATCCAGCACAAGTTGTTATGCAGTTATTTTCAATTGTGTTTGAAAGCAAAAATTTTGAAAGAAAGAAATATCCTATGAAATGTTCAAGATCTCTTTAACTCTCTAGAAACACAAAGGAGCTCCCTCCTTGACTTTATAAATTTTTAAAATTGTGCATACATAGATTCATGTTTTGTTTCTATTTTTTTCAAGAATCCCCATACCAATTGTTGGAATTTTCCAACCTTTCCCTTGTGGGTTTATTCTTTTTCACGTCTATTATCTTCATTCCACTGTTCAACTATTCCTTAACTAATCACTAGATTATATATAAAGAGAAATTAAATCATGTGCTTTGACTCCTCATCATTTTCTGAAGACTTCTCATCCTCACATTCATGTCACTTTTGCACTTCTGGTTCGTAAAAACACCAGATGTTCAAGCAAGAGCTGGCACCAAAAAAAGTGTTGGATCACATTCAGAAAATGTGCAGTAACATCACATGTCGCATGCAATGTCACCTTGCATTTTCAAAATGCAATTGAATTTTTAGCCCTAGCAATTCAATCACATTTTGAAAATGCGAGGTGACATCGCATGTGACATGCAATGTTACCGCGCATTTTCACAACATGATCCAATACTTTTTGTAGTGTAGTACCATACATACTAGAACCACAACTTGATCCAATTCAGCCTTTTTTTTTGAATCCTACTGCTTTTCTACAATAATTCAAACAATTTTTCTACAGCCAAGAAAGATATTTCTTGTTCAAGTGGGAAATTTGTTTAATGAGCAAGTACCCACACCTCCCATCCAAATTATGAGGCAACTTGTGTTAAGTTAATTTTAGGGAAGGATGTTTAAGGTGTACATGCCAAGTTGAAGCAGAGGACTTGTTGGACCAACAACATCAGCAAGACTGTGTTCAAGAAATAATAGGCCCATCCCTACTCCAACCTAGATGGAAGCTTGGGGTGGGGGGAATGATTGAAAACTCTCCACCATCCTCACTGCCTTTTGGATTTTCTGGACTTATATATTGTGAATTTTGTTTATGGTTAATTTCTATGAGCATTAAGATGGCCAAAAACAGTTTCATGAAAATGAGGGGAGGATGAATATGATCTCCTCTCTAAATTTTAAAGAAGTTTGTCTTTTAGGTATTCAAGATTGTTGCATAAACATATAAACAAATTTTGATGGGGGATGCTTCCAACGGTGGGCCAGCTACGCTAACCGTAGCGTTAGCGTAGCGTAGTGTAGCGAAAAACCGCTACACTTTAGCGTAGCGTTAGCGCTTTTCTCATTTTCTGCGCTAACGCTACGCGCCTGGGGAAAAAACTTGCGCTAGCGTTTAGCGTAGCGTTAGCGCGATTCCCCCCCATCTGCGCTAACGCTACGCGCGCAGGGCGCAAAAAACCGCCCGCTACGCTGCGCTACAGCAGTTTTTAGCGGTTTTTAGGCGTTTTTTGCCGCTAAAAACGCTGTAGCGTAGCGTAACGCAGCGTAGCGGCGCCAGAGGCGCGCTAACACTACACCAAAAATTGGCGAGTGTTAGCGCCGCTACGAATTAGCGTAGCGCAGCAGCCGTAGCGGCGCGCTAACACTACGCGAAAAAAAAAAAAAATGGCGCCGCTACGCTAACGCTACATGGGCCCGTAGCGTAGTGTAGCGTAGCGGCCCACCGCTGATGCTTCCATGATCCCAGCCAAAATCATTCATGCCTGTTGATACTGAAATCAAATGGAGGAAAACTTCCCCAGAAAGAATATGGGGGGGGTATTTAGTGTGCTTAGCATGATTATGAAATTTTGGTGACCAAGGATGAGAGAGAGATAAAATCTAAGCCATTTACAAGAGAGATTAGATTTGGGTTGGTTTTTTTAATAACCATTGAAACAAGGAGGGTCCAGAAAGAATATTGTGGTTCCATTCAACAGCTGGGCTAATGTGGAAGTTGGTAGATAGCGGTTATACGTCTAAGCTTGATGCTGTAGCAAGAGCCTTGCGGATAAGAAGCAAGCCTATGGGTGGCGTACAGGACATAATTTGCTTGTTAATTCTTGCAGCTACCTCCTGTCTCAAAGCACTACGCTAAGCTGTTCCTAAGTGAGCTGTGGACCAAAGCAAATATACAAACTATATTGTTTTGAGACTCTATGCAACAAAAGGAATCATAGTTCATATCTGACTTGAACTGGAACAATTGATTTTTTATCTATTTGAAAATAATAAAGAGGAAGGCATGATCATTAAAAACCAGAATTTTGGATTCAGAAAATTGAAATGGAGCTTTTTTGGGCTTTGCATGCATCCCCTGATGCGTAAATTCACAAAAATTATTTATAAGAATAATGCATAAAAAATGATTTACAAAAAAGAATGATGCTATTGCTAACAGCTATTGAGGATAATTCCTTATTTTTCTGGTGTTGAAAACATGACTGCACACACACCATCATTTGGTCCCTCCATTAGCACCAATACAAGCCAAACCAAGTTTCTTAATCCATTTTTTTGGTTGAATGAAATTCCAACTCTCCATCCAGTGTTTCTCCTATTTTTGGGGGCCAGTCAAATGGTGAAAAAATCACATCAATTTTTTAGAATCAACTCTGAGAAAACTTGGTTCCATTTAACGAAAAAAATGGTTGTTAAAAACAGTTCATTGTACCAACGGTGGGCCGCTACACTAACTGTAGCGGTTAGTGTAGCGTAACGCAGCGGAATCGCTGTTAGCGATTAGTGTAGCGTAACGCAGCAGAATCGCTGTTAGCGATTAGCGTAGCGTAGCGGAATTCCGCCACGACACCGCTAGCGCTACGCGTGTGGGCCGCAAAAAAGGGCCCACTACGCTGCGCTACAGCCGTTTTTAGCGGTTTTTGACCGCTTTTTCCACTAAAAGCGCTGTAGCGCAGCGTAGCGTAGCAAAAAACCGCTGAAAAACCGCTAACACTACGGTTTTTGGATGAAAAAAAAGCGCCGCTACGCTACGCTTTTTGGGCCAAAAGCGTAGCGTAGCGTAGCGGCCCACCGCTGATTGTACAGAACAAAAACCTTGGGTTTCATCTTCCTTTTGCCCCATTTATGTGGCCTCTCTGGCAGAAAGGTTTCACTTTCAATCCTGCCAATGCACTCACTGGATGAAGAAAAAAAACCTGCTTTCTTTTCTCTTCCTTTCCTTCAACACCCACTTAAAAATCACAGGATACAACTCAAGACAGTTCATTTAAGGGCATTTCTTTTGGTGTAGTGGCTCTAAACATGTAAGCAGTCTGTCACCGAGCCTGACATAGCTACAGGAGTATACCTGAAGGCAAAGGTTGTGGAATAGAAATTACCTTCATCCTCCGAATTCTCTACTACAAAATCCTGGAGACAGATCTGAGAGGAAGTGGCCATCCAGTGCAAACGCTTCAACAGAAATGTTCTTTAGTCTAACCCACATTATTCCCCAAAAACAACTCTTAAGCACTCCCTAGTCTTCACTTGTTTGATTCTTTTATGGAGAATAAGATGAGATTAAAAATACAAGGGTTGTACAAGAAGTATACAGCTTGGCTTCTTGGGGATCCAGATGTACTTAAATCGTCGAAGACGGGCGATTCCTTGAGACCGAAATGGATTCATGACAAGATCAGTTGGATACCAGAAAGTCAATCAATCGACAAATTCCGTATAATGTCAAGCCCCTCCTGGATCGGGTAATAGCTGGGCTCCAAGGGCACACATCATGAGTCATGTTCGCGGCTATCGCCTTCATCTGATTCGGATTCATTGTTTTCGTCCAAGTTGAACACCCTAGTCGTAGCCATCAACCTACATTTTGAAAAAAAAAAGAACAAACAACAAAATTTTTGGTTAGTTGCAAACGATTCATGATGAATGAGCCATCGATATTGATCTGCATTACTGACATGGAACCATAGTAAATAGCGAGTTCACGTTGATCGGTGGATTGTCGGGCATGGATCTTACAGAGACTTGCTAGCCTGTCGGATTGGACCGAGAGTTCTGCCAATCTGGTTGCTAGATGAGCGAGATGTCTCTATAGCCAAGAATACCCGGGCATTCAGATATCAGTCTTTTTCTTCCTTTCACTTTTTCCATGTGTATGTGGATGAAAGATTCATGATTTTGGGAACATTGTCGAACTTGCTTGTTTTGGGGTGCTTGCGGTTGAGTTTGAATGGCTTGATGAGATGGGTCTGCTTGAGTGAGTATGAGTGGACATGCTGCTGAGTAAATATTTATGTAGGCCAGTTGAGTGGTGTTGACTCTTGAGCAAAGTCATTGGCCACGCGTCTTGGAAAAATGCGGCATCACGTCGATGCCCCCGGGCCTCCCCGATCCCCCCGTAAATGACCGATCCAAACTGGCCTGAGATTGAACTTGCAACTCCCAATACCGAATACCCAGACAGCTTCCTTGGTTCTTAACTTCAGAGTTCACCATCTTCGTCGAAGCATCACTTGACTAGATTATAGTATAAATCCACACACATATCCCATCATACCAGTTGCGATGTCAGTCACAGAGGATCAGATCGTCAAGGACGTCCAGAAAGTATGCACACAAGCCGTCGAACTCGGGAAACATCTGTGAGCACTTTACTTGCCGGCCGTTTTTCTTCTTCTTTAGCCGGTCTGGATTCACCACAACAGACACATGCAAATCCAAAATTGTTGACTATGACTGACTCTCACTTTTTTTTCTTTGTAAAAAACACACACACAGGGATCTTACCGTCCGAGGGGTAATTCAACAGTTGATCGATGAGATGAAGCATGATGAAGAATTTGTGAACTCAAAACCAATCAAGAGATTAATCAAAACTACTGCGGCAGAATGTCTACAGCCCGTTCGTATCTTTGACCACTCGGAATCGACCTTAAGACAATTTCGGACTAACGTTTACTCGAATCACATTACGTTTATATCTGAAATCCTAAGGTCACACAACCCGAACCCGATCCAACAGACGAAAAGCAGGCAGAAACGAAAGACTCAGCCGATCAACCAGAAGAAACAACCACCCAGAAAGACTTAGTCGATCAACCTGAAGAAACAACCACTCAGAAAGACTCAGTTGATCAACCGAAAGAACCCAAAGAGGACAAGAAAGATTCCCTAGCTCTACCCGATCAATCGTCTGCTCCTCCTTCGCGTCCACCCAGCAAAAAAAGAGCAAGAACATCAAGCAAAGGTGTATTCAAGGTGATGTTCCAGACCCCCAGAGATACAACCCGATCCAATTATAAGCCAACCTTTAAACTGATGTTTCCATATTGTCTGATCCTTGTTAATCTGTAGTCGGCCGAAATGGTTGATTCTGATGGAAACTCAATTCACGAAGATGAAGAATCAACTGTCAAACCCGCCTCCAAGCCAAAGGTCAAGAGAGAAAGGAAGAGTAAAGGAACTAAGAAGGATGATTCAGAGCAAGAATCAAAGAAAACCCTTGACAAAGAACAAAAATCAGAAGACGATGAAAAGCCTACATCGAGCACACCCGCTCCCAAAAGTGGAAAGGTTTGTTTGAAATTGACATCCTCCAGCCCCTTTTCACGGCTAGTCTCTTGGCATCCGCCTTGCCAGACCCAATGATTACGACGAAAATCGAGTTGGCTCAAAAGGTTTCTAACGAGATTTTTTATCCTTATTTTACATTAGGGCAAACGACGCGAGTCTGCGCCGGTTGATAAAGATGAAGAGAGGATTAAAAAATTAAAAGTGGGCAGGTTATCTCAAAGCCATCGTCATGTTTGTGCATTCGAATACAGATGTTGACCTTTGAATGCTGATTCTTCTTTTATTTCCTGATTTTTGAATGACTTACTCGATGTAGTCCTTTGTGGTGGCTTGTGGGGTACGAAAACAATGGAAGAAAGAATTTCAAGATTTGACGACAAATAAACAACAGATCCAACGACTAACGAAGATTCTAGAGGATTTAGGCGCACTGCAGGGGAGGTTGAGTATGGTTAAAGCGAAAGAGATCAAGGC